CCATGGGACAGATAGTTACAAGCCATAACTTCTGCCCCTGGACCCCAAAAGATTCATGTGCATGCCTTTATGAAAAATCCATTTTGTCCATCTCTAAGAGCTGCCAAAGACCTAAGACTTCCACACTGTTGAAAAGTCCAAGTCCAAAGTCTCTTTTGAGATTTAAGGCAAACTCTTAGGTATAAGCCACTGTAAAAATCAAAAGAAAGTTAAATAGTGCCAATATACAAAGGTACTGGTGAAGCATTCCCATTCTAAAAGGGAAAAATAGGGGAATAGAAAGGAATGGCACCAAATCAAGACCAAATCGCAACAGCACAAACATGAAATCCTGTAGCTCTGTGCCAAGAATGCAAGGCAAGGTGTGACAAGATGTAGGTACCAACAGCTTGGGCAGCCCTGTCCCTGTTGCACTGCCAGTGGTTCTCATCAGTTCTGTCTTTGTCTAGCTTTCTGCACTACTTCTAGCTTTCCTCAGATATTACAATTTCCTGACTTTTCCTGTATGCTAGGGTCTCCACAGCACTTTTAGTTCCACGGTCACATCTTCAAGTGCTATGCTCTAAGGGACAAACTGTCTGGCCTCCCACGCCTTCCTCTGAAATCTGAATGGAAGCCCCCTGTCCCTACAACTCTTGTATTCTACATGCTTTTTAATCAGGACTATATGGATGATACTAAGGTCAGCTGCCAGCTGAAGCAGTAGCTGAACCTTTTTCATTTTTGGGTTTTGTTTTTTTTTTTTGTCTTTTTTTTTGAGACAGGGTCTCACTACGCAGTTCAGGCTGGCCTTGAGCTCACTTTGTAGCCCAGGCTGGTCTCAAACTCAGAATGATCCTCCTGCCTCAGCCTCCCAAGTGCTGGGATTACAGGTGTGCACCACCAGACCCGGCTTTGAGCCCTTTTTCATCTTGCAAAGGGCTCTGAGTGCCTAGTTGGGTGAGCTTGGTAAACTGAATCCCTGCAAATTAATTCTCTAGGCAGCCCTACTTCAACAGAGTACCATGGAGTTTTCTTCTCAAAGCAAATTCTTTCAGCCATGCACCCTCAGGCAGTGAAGGGAGGGATCTTCCTGTTTCCTGCGATGGCCTCAAGCTATTTTTTATTGTCTTGTTATAAAGTTCTTGGCTTCTTTTTAGTGCTAATATTTGCAGCAACAAAGTTCTCTTCTGCTCCATCTTGACAGTTCCCAAATTTTCAGGGGATTCCTTTTAGTAAAACTAAAAGCTTTTAAAATCATTAAGCTATGCCTTTTGGTCTTGATTTTCAAGGTAAAGCTGGCTATCAGCCCCCAACAATAGACAAGCCACAATCTCAACATTAGACTTCCTTGATATTTTCTCCACCAGTATAATTAGTTCCCTGTTCTTAATGTGAGTATCTCTCAAATATTCAAAACAGGAGAAAAATGTAGAAAACTTTTCTCTCAGAGTCTAATATACATGGCCTAGAGTACAATGTCAACAGAGTTTTTGTTCCCAACTGAAGTCTCTGAGCCTGGTCTTTTCCATCTGCTTTTTTTTAATCAGCATCCTGCTCTTCTGAGCTTTAACCAGAATCTCCCATCAAACTCAACTTACAACATTCCAAGGCTGCTTCTTCAGCCCACATCCCCAAGCCTTTCCAAAAACTTCACACAACCACTTCCAAAGGCTTCTGAACCATATGGTCAAGTACAGTATAGACACAGGAACAACCCCATTTCTGTGGTACTAAAATCAGTCTTATTTCCCTCATCACAGGGACATAGTACCCAACATCCACAATTTAAAGGAGAAAAGCTTATTTTGACTCACAGTTTACAGAGCTTTCAGTCCATACTCAATTGGCTTCAAGGCAAGGTGGCATGGCAGAGAAGAAACAGCTCATGCCATGAGAGCAGGAAGCACAGAACTAGATCAAGGGAGAAGGGGAGCAGACATATCCTACTAGGCCCTAACCCTGTAACCTACCTCCTCTGACCAGGCTTAAACTTGGAACATCACATTTAGCTATAATCATACCCTCATGACCCAGTCAACCCCCAAAAGCCCAACATATGATCACACGACACTTCACGGGGGATATCCACATACAAACAATAACGAAGGGCATGTCTCCCTTCTTCCTCCCTTAAACTTTCATTCCTGACTACTGTGCTCTGAACTGCACATTCTCTGTCATGATCTTCTGTCATCCTGCCGTGCCTTAGAGCTAGCAGAACATGGACTAAAACCTCTAAAAACTCAGTAGAAATGAATCTCTCCGCATGTAAGTTGTGGGTATCAGGTATTGTATACCAGTAACAAAGGAAGTCACTAAGACAGATTTTGGTACCAGAGAAATAGGGTCTTCGCTGTGATGTTACCTGACCTGATTGTAGGCAGAGTTTGGAAAGGTTTGGAGCTACCAGCTGGAGAAGCAGCCCTAAATGTTGTGAGCAAAGCTTGATGGATGAGTCTGGGCAGAGCTTAGAAGACCAGAATGTTAACAGTAATGCACCTGATAAAGACCAGGCTCAAGAGGTTTCAACAGAAAAAGACTTTATTGGCAGTTGAACTCCAGACCACATATGTTATGCTCTGGAAGAAAATTTGTCTGCATTTTGCTCATGTCTGGAGGCTTTGTGAGAGACAGATTATGGGCATCAGACTAACCTGGCAGAGGAAATTTCAAGACAGCCCAACATTCATGTATTTGAATGGCTACTTTTGAGGGATTTTATTCAGCTCTATGTGGAGAATCAAGAGCAAAAGGGCAAAAAGCACAGTTCTAAAAGTATTGAGTTGGCCTAGGATATGGCTCAGCAGCACAGCACTTGCCTGGCAAGCACAAGGTCCTGAGTTTGATTCCCACTACCAAAAAAAAAAAAATGTTTTGAGTTTGGTTATAAAGCAACTACCAGTGAAGTTGTGTCCTGGAAAGATGAAACATAGGAGAGCTTGATTGCTGAAAAGATTAGCACTAAAAAGAAGGCAAGTACTTTGGAACAGGACAATAGGAAAAATAAGGGCATGTGGAAACCATCCAGGACCCACCTTTCACAGGCTCAAAATTGCAAAAGGGAAAGGCTTTGCTCTGAGAAGAGAGAGCCAGTGTACTCTGTTGGAGAAAGCTTGCTTAAGGAATTGATTCTCTTGGATTTAGTTCACTGTGCACTGGAAATTTCTGCAAGCAACACTAACATGCAAAAGGGTTCTGCCACTGCTCTAGCTGACAGCAGAACTTGGCAACATTCACAAAGGTGCTGGTTTTTTACATGCATGTAAAACACAGAGTTATGGAGTCAGGAAGACTTCCTTCCAGGTTTCAGAAGAAGGCCTGGGAAATCAGGCAGTGTGTCCCTGAGAGCAAAATAACCATGTACAAAACTCTGAATTTTGAGCCAAGTTAAACAACTCTCTTAAGTTGTGACTGTCAGGTATTTTAGTCCAGTGACATAAGAGCTAACTTATATTTCTAATCTAGCTTTATTTTTAGAATTCATCAAACGATGTATTTTCCAAAATAAGTCTTCATTCTGAGAATACTTCATATTTTAGAATAACAAAACAAAGTAAATTTAAAACTAAAGTTAGACAGGTACTAGCTTCCTAGGAAAAATTCAAGAAATTATTTAACCTCTCTATGCCTCACAATGTCCACTTAATACATCTGGAAAATTGTTCCTACCTATAGTTGGCTATCATGGAAATTAAATTACATAACATGTGCAATAAAACTAATGCATTAACTAGCATAAAATATTATTTAAAAATATAGTAACTTTCACTACCACTCTTTGCAAACATCTTTATATTTTATTTTGAAGTTTGAATTCATGAAAGTCATCAGAAGTAAATTTAAACTTACACTTTTATTAAAGATTTTAAAAAATAATGTCCCACACCTGGATTTTTAATGCAGAAAATTTCTGGCATGTGAATCCATATTTCATAAAGACTGAATTGAGAGAATCATACAAGTAATTATATATTCAATAGTGAAAAAGAATTCCAAGGTGGGCCTTATAGGAAAACAAAATCTAATTTAGAAATTCAGTCCAATAACTGAGAAGTTAATAAGCTTTCAAAACAAAATTAGAAAGCAATATGTGTAACTTAATGCCACTTTTTGGATTCCTACATATTCATAATGGGATAATTCATAGAAAGACATAAACTATAGCAAATATAGTGATACTTCATTTTCCGGCACTCTGTAAATTACTAATTACTAATTTACTTACTGTTTAACAGAAAATAGAAAAACTATTCTTCCTCTTCTTTGTTTATTCAATGAACCATTAATGTACCAAGATACAGTGGTCAAAAGCCCTAAATACACAGGTAGATTAGCAGTTTGTTTTGGGGGGAGATGTGGGAATAGAGATTTAAACTATGCTTTATTTCATACTTATGTTTTTCATTAACTTCCTTTTATTATCACTTCTTAGGGAAAACATAATCCTGTATACTTTTCCTAGTTAAAATTTTTCTAAATTTAAATTTTGATGATCTCTATAAAACCACATACTTGGGGCTGGGGATTTAGCTCAGCGGCAAAGCGCCTGCCTGGCAAGCGCAAGGTCGTGAGTTCAGTTCCCGGTACCTGAGAAAAACCAAAAAAAATAAAAAACAAAAAAATAAAAATAAAAAAAATAAAACCACATACTCACATCTGTTGGCTAAATTTTACAATAATCAAATATGAAGCCTAAAATACAGAGCACATTTAAATTTCATATACTCATACATATATATAAGTGAAATGACAGATGTGAAGTTCCCAAGCCTCGTGGAAAATTACTTATTCAAATAACAAAACACTCATGAAAAAATCAAAATGATCCCTCTGATTTATTCTCAAGGCCCTATTCCAAATAATAAAATAGAAAAACTTACATGTCATATATTTTAGATATTATCGGTAAAAATTAAATAAACCCAGTTCCTTTTCTACCTTAAATTTATATACATTAAATTTTAAACTTGTACACAGACATTCAGGAAGTATTAAATGCTACCATTAATAAGACTTACGAATCAACATGCAGAACCCTCTGGCCACTCCTTGAACATGCAGCTGCAAAGATGGATTCAGGCAAACCTATAAAAACACACACCTATATCATTTAGAATGTAGAAATATTTATAAAATTACTTATTTTTATATAAAATTTTCATGGCATGATATCATTGTACAGACTCATTAAACAAACAGAATTATTCTTGGTCAAAATTACAGTTTGTATTAATTTTACCATTAGAGGTTCCTTAAACATACACCACTATTACAGAAACTTTTATGTAGAAGGGGTATTTTTAAAAGGATAAAAATGTAAGTATTTTCAACTAAAATTTATCATAAATGAGCAACTGTAAGAATATGGTTTACATAAATCTGATTTTTTCATTCCACTGAGAGATAAGAATCTACATATGTATTTCACAAATGAAAAAGAATCTGAAACTCAAATATGTTAACCTGCTATTCTCAGCTTAAAAGTAGTAAGTTATAGAGTGCAAAGTGGAACTCACATCTCACTCCAAAGCTACAAAGCCTCTAAAGGGGAATAGCATACTTCTTTTTTGGTTTAAGAAATACGGCCAGGTGTGGGGGCACACACCTATAACCTCAGCACTCGAGAGGCTGAGACTGGAGGATCACTCTGAGTACAAGTCCAGCCTGAACTACATAGCAAGACCCTGTCTCAAACAAAAAAAAAAAGAGCGAGAAAGAAATATGTTAACTAGTTTAGAAAGAGGCCATTTATAAGACATACTATTTTACTTTTGGTCAGTAGAGCAGTTTGCAAAGAAAACATTACTGCTTTGAAATCAAATGTAATCATACCATAAAGCTGATGATTATGAAAGGAAATACATATCACAACTATCAATACAATCAAAAAGATAAAATGACCAAAGATAACACTGAATAATTTAAAACCAGATTTTCTACTCTAGTAAAGTTCTACATTGCAAGTTCAAGACATGTCAGTAAGTTATAATCAGAAGATCTACCATTTCAATGGACACTATTACATTTTTTATATCAACCATACAAATAAACCATGTTTCAAAAGTTCAGCATAAACTCAGGCATTGTGGCTCATGCTTATAATCTCAGCACACAGGAGGCTGAGGCAGAAGGATCACCACAAGTTCAAGGCTAGCATGGATTACACAGTGAGTTCAAGATCAACTTAAACTACATAGTGAGACTCTGTCTCAAAATAAAATAAAGTAAAATAAAATGAAGTTATAGATAAATAAGAGTTTAGTACAATTCTTTAGAACTACCACTACCAGGAAACATCCTGATCCTCTTGTACTTTACCTAACAGAAAAAACTGTACCATTGTTTTGGACAGTTTAAACTATACACTATACTCTGGTTTCTCTTTAGATCATATAAATCTTTCACTCTTTTAAACTATGCACTAACCATCAAGGATTTCAGGAAAACATAAAGGTTATGTTCTTTATATAAAAAGTTATATGCACATGTATACAAGAGAAATAGCCAATCTCTAATTAAAAAGCACATTAAACACAAGGTCTAGCTGCCTACAAGGAAAAATTACATTTTGTAGGATACACTGTGGGTATATAATGTTTGATTCAAAAAAAAAAGTTCTGACACAATGATCTGAAAATAATCATTAAATATTAATTGCTAGAAACAAGTCAACATAACTCTCCAATCTCTACTTTGGATACAGTTCAAGAAAATAGATAAAATGCAAATTTTTAGGGCAGAAACAAACAAGAGGAGTAAAGTCTTAAATAGATAAGCAAACTAAATTATTCAGTTAAAACTATTCTAATATCCTTTATCTTAAAATTAGCTGAACTTTTTACAAACCATAAATAAATTTCCTTGCTAAATAAATGTAATCATTATGCTAATTTAAAGGCTGATAAGCAGCTTAGTTAAAAGGACAACAGCAAAAAAAATACTTAGGAGACAGAATTAGCATATTAAAGATTAATGCTCTTTGTATAATAATGACAGCATTAATAATAGCACTTAATATTATAGGATTTTATGCTTCTCACCATGTTTTAACATATATCATCTCATTTTTTTCTTAGACTCCTGGGAAAGAAAGCATTACCCATGTGAGGAAATGGATTATAGCATGTTGCCAAATACGTGTCAAGTAATTCAGTACCTTCAATTCAATTTACCATGGTAAGTCACTATCTCCAACTTGGACATAGCTTTGAGAATGAAGGTTTAAGGTCATTACAAGCAATACAATGAAATGTGTATGGATTCAATTGGACAGACTTAGTCCTACATCTTTGTGTTGGTTACTACTTGGACAAACTCAAATAAGTCACTTGGCTTCTCTGAACCTCTGTTTCTCCATCCATCAATGGAATATTACCATCTACCTCATAAGATTGTTTAGTTGTTAGTAAAAGTATTTGCCTTACGAACTCTATCTACATTTATTAACCTTTAAAAAGATATATTAGAAGTACTACACTTTCATCTAATGCTACTATAAATATACCAACACCTCTAGCAGGCAGCAATATTACTGTCTTCTATTGGGCCCAAAATAGCTAGCTGCTGTTTGGGGTAGATATTTATGTGGCTATGTATATGGTTACTTCCATGCTTACAGTCAACTCTGTCAGAAGGTAAGTCTCTGCTGACAAAGCAAAGCCAGAATGGATTATAATACTTGAGTCCAAATTATACAAAACTAAAATGACTATAACTCGTGCTTTTCTTCAATACTTTTTTTCATCCAGATATCCCCACAAGTTTGTGAAACAAATATGCTATTCCAGTGTTAAATATTCACTATTTAAAGAATGAACAATACAGTTAGCAATGTCTTTCTGGTCAAGATTACATATTTCTTCCCAGCCATTCAATAAACATAGTTCATTGAGGATGGGAAACACAGATGCTCTGAAACTATATGCTGAAGAAAACAAATGGGGAAAGAGAAAAGGGGAGAACGAGGAGTTGCAAGACAGAACACAGTGACTGTGACAGTCTGTGGGAAAAAGAAAAGATTAAAGAAATTATCCGTGCCTAAACAGATACTAGTCTAAAGATCAAAATTTAGAAATTAAAATAATTAGTATATTTCAAATTGTTATAGAAAAACAATGGAAGGAAACACTTTCACTGTTGGAGGAAGCACTAGAAAGCTCCGGAGAACATCAGGATCTCCAACAACCTAAATGTAAGGCTGTAGTAGGAAAAGGAAAAAATGCAAGCAAGTATTCGTAAAGCCAACAGTAAAATTAGGCAGACCAAAAGGTGAATCTTTAAAAAGAGTACATCCACCTACTTCACTTAGCATAATGTCTGCAAGGGTCATTTCTGGTGCAGCATACTACTTCCTTACTTTTTTTAATAACCCAAGTAATATTCCATTATATGCCTATGCTAGATTTTCTTTATCCATATTTTTGTCAATGGACATTTAAGTTGTTCTCACAGCTTAGCTACTATGAATATGGCTGCAACAAACATAAAAACAGAATGACAAATACTGCATGTTTCTACCTATATATCTAATGTAGATAAATACACAGAATCAAAGAGTAGAATGGCGGTTGCCACAGGTTTTCAGGAAAAGGAAGCGGAAAGTTGCTAATCAATGGGCATAAGTATCAGTTATGCAAGATGTGTAAGATCCAGAGATCTGTTGTACAATAAGGCAGCCACAGTGAACACTGTATTGTACACTTAAAACATTAAGAGGGTGGATCCCATGTTAAATGTTCTTACTACAATACAACAAAAATTTAAAAATAAAAGAGTGACTAAAACAAATTGTGGAGTTTGAACTTAAACCTTTACAAAACGGAGCCTTAAAAAGGATTTTAACATAACAGCATATTAAAATCAATGTTTCAGAAAAAAATAAAACCTCACATACCAGCATGGAGGATAAGCTTGCATAAAACTGAAGTCTTAAGTTGTTTTTTTTTTTTAAAATTCTTATTTAGGAAAAAGTAACAGGAACCTTTTGTCTATTGACAGTTTAGTAAAATGACTCCTTGCTTTGTTTAAACTAATATAAGCTCAATTTTAATAACACTGAAACCTGTAATTAAATACAAAACTCTTCTAATGCTTAAAAAAGTGAACAACATCTGAATCATTACTTAAATTCACATAATATTCTTATAAGGCACTTATATGAGACATAAATTGCTTATAATGAATTATACAATCTCTCCCTTAAGGAAAAGCCAGACAATCCAGATCAAGGTCAAATCTCACACAGCATTCCACAGGCAATACTGTATAAAATGTGTGAGCTGTCTTGGTTACTTTTCTCTCGTTGCT